ACATGCAGGTATCTCTCACTACCTCTGGGGACCTCTTTCCTCCCAGAAGCAATCCCTTGAAGCCAGAGAAAGTATCTTGGTATTTAAAGTGATGTTGGAGGCTTGTGATACAGAGTATGTGTGCGCCTTGTGCAGGCCACAACTTTCTTGCAGCTGTTGATACAAATTGTTCCAATTTCACACATCATTTCCCCCGCAACGATCAAAGAAGGGCACATGGCACTACCAGCAATGACAGTGTTATTAGTGGGCAATGGGCTGTGATTTCTTTTTCTGGCAGGAATCCCAAAACAACATTGGTTCTTTCCTTCCAACCTCTGCCAAGTTCAGTGTTCTGGTGTAAAAATGTTCTTGGAACTCTCCCTTGTGTGGGCAGAGAGATCTTAGTGCTAGCCTGCTTGTGAGGTCACCCTTGTGTAAAGCTCTCCTGCCACTCTGTGGCAGGATTTCAGAAAGGCCAAGTTTCAGAAGTGGCTCTGGCACTCGGGGCTGCCCACTGCAGTCCTTGGGTGGTCTGTGTACTCAGTACCTCTACAAGCTGGGCTATTACTGAATAATAAGATGCGCTCATTCTTTCAGCACGGTTGATGATAGCTGCTGACCTGGCTTTACAGGGGAAACATGATGCCTGTTGCTTGCTCTCTTGAATGCAAGTTGGCACAAAGCTTGCAAAGCAGTCTGGCTAAATATAACCCTTGAACAGACATGCTGAGCTGGGAGACCTAAAATTAGTTTTTTCCTTACAGTGCTGGAGTTGCGTGGGCATTTGTACTTTCCCTGGCTGTTCCTTTGTGAGTATGGAGAATTCTTCCTCGGTAGGAGGTTGAGAAAAAATGTTGGTATTTCGGATTCATCTTTACCACCGCTCGTCCCCACTCCCCCCCGCCCCAGAGACCCTGAGAACACTGCCTTTTTGTCACTGGTTCCAGTGGGATTGAGACCAGGCTCTTTGAGACCAGTGGCAGCAGGCTACAGCAGGAACTCGTTGACCTGGAAAGTCTGTTGTTGGGGTGTCAAAAAGCAGATGCAGCTTTTATCTGGCTGCCAAATCTTTGCTTACAGTGGGTTCTGGGCCACCTTCCTCTTCCCTGTGGCTGTGCAGCCGGCTCATCTCTTGGGGCCTATGGAGAATTCTTGAACTCTGACAACAAGTTCAAGTCTTATTTATGGCTTTGTTTTGCTTGATAGAATTTGGACTTGTTACATTAAGTTCTTTCCTAATTTGTCAAGAAGTCCTTCTAGCCCTAGGACACTATGGGGGATTTTTTTTTCTCTCTCTCCTATTCTGCCATCCTCTGGATGCAATCTTTCCTGCCATCTTACTGCTTGTACTAAGTCCTGCAGGGAGTGGTAGATATGAAATGGTGGATTAGTGTGGCCCAGTGATTAAAGCTGCCATCTCATGGAAAGATGAGGGGGAATCACTGGGATGCTGATACGAACCCCTTATGCCTTTACTTGAGGTGGCCTGGGGCCCAGTAGTCTTTGGGAGACATAGGATGGAAATCCATCATCAGATCCCAGCTGGGCTTTAGTCTGCTTGGGTAGCTTGAGCTGAATTGCTCTTTCCTTCAAGGTGCATACAGGACTCTGGTTTTGTGATCAGCGCTCTCTGCACACCCATCTTCCTCTGGCTCCTCTGGCACTCTGGCCACTCCTGAACCAACTTGATCATGCTTCACTTATGTGGTTGTACCTGAAAGAGCAGTGCTGCAAGCTTTAAATGAAAACCCTTGAGAAAATAAATAACTACTTGAAGAGGCGCTGTTCTAGAGCAAATGTGTGGTGATAAGTGTCCAACCAGTGGAATTACATATTTTACGGAATCTGCTCCCACCTGCAAGGTGTTCAGTATCTGGGAATGCATCATGCTCGATACATCTGTTAATATAGATCCCTTCCCTGTGTTCTCAGCGTAGACATGATGTAATTCTATGTGTTGTGAGGAAGAGACAATAACACAAAATCCCCACTCAACTTGGTTAGCTAAGAGCCGTGTGTTATTTATTACAAGCTTATATAGAGTTTATCAAACAAGTTTTAACACAAAAACATGTCTCCTAAGAGAGAATGTGTGAAACTTTTCCAGAAATAAATATCTATGAGCTGTATAGAACTTGAGAGTTTAGTCAGAACTTTGTCAATGGTCAAAACAAAACAAGCCTCTTCTATTAACAGTATCTTAAAATAGTAAAATCCAACCGAAAAGGTTTGGGGTTTGGTGCTGCAGTCTGAGAATGGGGTTTGTCCACACACGTGTGAGCTTTGGTCCTTTTCTGAGTGCCACATGGCAGCAGCACAGGTTAACAGTGTTCAGTGTGAATGGAACAGGAATTGTCAATACTCCCAGCTGATTCCCATGACTTGGGGCGACTGCAAAGGCAGCCCAGCCGCCAATTCAGATCTAAATAGATGCAGAGCAAAGGTAGTGTGTGGAAAGCACCTAAACCTCTAAATTATGGTAACAGAATAAATAAGTCTAAATTTACAGAGTAAGAAATATGTACCTTAGTAAAGTCTGGTGTGTATATTATTACTGAAATCTTGTTTTCCTATAGAGGAAACTTGCTGCTAAGGCATCTTGAGAGTGGCTCATGTCACTATAAACACTGCAGTGTTCATCTAAATTCTTGTGGACAGGAGCAGAGTTCTTTTGGAGGTACTAGCCCATTGCAGAGCACCCTGGAGATGTCTGTGAACACAGCGGTCACAGCAGAGGCATGTAAGGGAGAGCTCGTTCTTCTGGTGTCATTCTCACTTGTCAAAAGATTGATGGACCATTTCTGTGTGGTGTCTCCAGTTCATTCTTCCTCCTATCCTTCCCCACCCTCACAAACATTGCTCTCATGAGGAGGTGCTGCCATCTCGCCCCTCTGGTCTCGTTCCTGGTTCCTTCTCAGAGGAAGTGGCACCTGCCTGGTTTTCTGTAAAATGAGAAAGTTTTAGAAGCAAATTTGATTAACTGTTGTAACTCTAAAGAGGACACAAGGTGGCTTGGCTAGGTAGGAGGCTGCTGCAGTCAGTGACTCAAAAACCCACGTGAGCAGGTATCCGAGAGGATTAAGGATATTAACTCACAAGCCTGGTTCCTTTTAAGGGTAGACTTGGCCCTGCAATTTTGAACTGCTGCAGCACTGCCTTGGGCTCTTGGGCTGTGCAGAATAACAGTGGCTCCATGCATAGGCTGTGATCTCGCTGCACTTGCTTTCTGCAGAATGGAGATTTAACTAAATGGAATATGCATGATTTGCTACCATGAGATCCAACAAGACAGATGGCTCCCTAAGGCCTTTTCAGGAATAGAGTGCAGACTGGTCCAAATAGTTAGCTTCACAATTTTGTGAAACTAAATTGAAAGCCTGTTACAATTTATCCCCATAAGACTTTGGGGTGAGAAGGATCATCAGAAAGAGAAGTCACTGGTTAAGCTGCAGGTCAAACCCGCCCCCCAGCTCCAACCACTATCACCCTGCTGCCATTGTGCTGGTATAGCCCACTGTGCAGTGTACACACACAGCATACATCCATGTTCATTCCTAATCTCACTGAGGTCAGTGGCAAAACTATCCAAGAATTTACTGTGGCCAACTACTGGACCCAAGAGCAGTGAGCTCTCTGCTAATGAACATGCTGGTGTAGGCACAAAGTGTAAAGAATCATTCAAGCAAGGGAAACTGATGGTGTTGGGAAGGAGGCTGGGGCAGTAAGAGGGGGCTCAAGGAGAGTGAGGTCAGATGCTTAGATGCATCTCGGGGGGTGCTTAGATAAGCAGCCCTACAGCAATGAGCCTTTTCCCAGTGAGGACCTTGTTTCCTTGTTTGACCTGCAGGCACAGCATGTGAGTGCTCTTGAATGTACTTTGAATGTCCTGCCAGCTAGCTGCAGAGCTCTCTGCTATATGAATTTGGCTCATATTAGAATCCACTATCAGCACATTTTAAGGAGCATTATCAGGACAAGAAGTGTTTTTCAAAACCTTTTTTTATTTTTGTTACAAATAAGACTCAGGGTTTACAGGAAAAAATATGAAAAACTAATTTACTTTCACATCTGGAGATTAATAATTTTACCTGGATAATTAAACAGACCAGCCAGTTTAACTTTGCATAGAGTCACTTTGATTTTTATCCTCTTAAATTAGTATTAGTGGTGGGACAGCATGTGTTAAATTTGTGTGGTGGTTGTAAAGGCGACGTTACAGGGGAAACTTATCTAAAAAGGAAAAACAAACTGTTTCTTTTATATTAGCCAATTGTGGTTGGTTTCCTAAAGCTCTGATTTCTGTGAACCCAATGGAGGTTTAATGTGCCTTGAAACAATTCCTTGTACTTTGTTATAAACACCTGGACTTAAACCTTCTGCAAATGAACTTCCACAAGGAGTCAGACTGAGGTATGCAGTGTCCCCCCTTTATGATTAGGGGTTAAACAGACACCACGCACATAACAAGGAGTTCCTGTCAACTGGGAAGCTAAGGTTGGACCAATATGCCCTTTAAATAAGCCATTGGCACTAAGGAAAAATAAACAATTCCTTGTGAAAGTGCTTGGTCCTTCTTCAGGTCATCTCTGACTCACAAATATGCAGAAGCCTACATGGAGTTCAATAATTTGTCGTCTTAAATTACTCTATAGCAGCCACATTTCCTTGGCATCCATGGCAATTTGCTTCCACTGTTCACTCACCTGATCCTTCAATTGAGAGCTCACTTATGTTGCCTGCCAGCTTGCGCATGCTGATAGCGCTCGCATCTCCTTGGATGTCATGGACAGCGTTCCTTCGACCAGCACGATCACAGGAAATGAAGTCACTGTATGTAGCCTCTACCTCCATTACTTCATTTGCATTGCCAAATGTGTGTGAATCCCTGTGGAGAAGAGACAGCTGTGAAGCAAGAGGTC